GTTCTTTTATTTCCTCTGGAGGCACCAACGTCCTATAACACATCCAACAACAAACACTACACACGACTTGAGAAACTGGTTTAAAAATCACTCTTGGTCACTTTATTTTAAAGGACATCTTTTAGGTAGTTGCCACAGCAGCTGCTTGGGTCCTCTGCACAGACACTCTGGTAGCGTGAGTCTTTGCAAGATGATCAGTGAACTCCTGCAGGGAAAGGCAAAGAGACCATGAACATACGAATTGTTTCTGAACCTCATTCACCCCAGGTAATCTTTTGAAGTGGTCAAACCTGCTAACTGCAGCTTGACCTGATGGCAGCAGCTATATTCTGTTAAACACAGCCCTCAAAAGAATTGAAATGCTGGTTCTTATATGGATTCATGATTAATAATGTACCCCCACCCCTGCCTATGAGCACAGATTCATGAAATAAAGCTAATTCCCAAAGACATCTTAAATGCATGCTACAGCTCTCAAGGCTGCTCTTACCTGATAAGGTGACTTGGTGAACACAGTCTCTTTCCACAGATCAGGGGTAAGGTAACTATAGGTCTTTGAGATGGCATCAAAGGTGGCCTTGGCTACAGAAAAAGAAAGATCATACACGGTCACCAATGTACACAAGACTGAACTGGCAGCACCAAAACCAGTTGTTGCTACTGGAAAAATATAATTGCCTTGTTGAGTATGAAAAGGAACAGGGAGACTATTTCATTGAATCTCACTGCCGTGCAAACAAACTCATTCGCTTTCCCTCTCGAAAAACGACAGTTGCACCACTTGGACCAGGTACAACTGAGCAGAGCGGAGAGAGTTTTACCAGAACACATCCCAAAAGGCAGTACTTACTCTGGGTGTGTCTGAAAACGTATACACACAAAGTATAGCTGCACCTCAACCAGGTGCCCTCCAGATTTTTAGACTACAGCTTCCATCAGTCCCAACAGGAAGGTACAAAGTTGGCAAAGGCTGAAGTATTTCTCACCTCTTAACCAAAAGTCCTAGAGAAATTAGCAGCTTGCCAGACTTTTCTTCCTTCTGGCCCATGATGCCTACTGCTGCCCTTTACATGAATTACTTGTAACAGTGACACAATCTATTGCACTGCACTGTCATTTTTCAAGACAGGACCAAGTAAATTGAGAAGTATAGAAACGTACCAAAGTTGCCCAAGGTGGCAGTGCAGCCCCTCGCTGATGTGTAACAGTCGTCAATACCAGCCATCATCAGCAATTTTTTGGGAACTGGGGCAGACACAATTCCAGTACCACGTGGCGCAGGGATGAGACGCACAAGTACGGAGCCACACCGACCTGTTACCTAAACAAACACAAGTTTCACACAGTAAGAAACTGGCATGGATATTTTAATGTCAATAAGCCTAGTTTGAAGTCCCAAGCCCTGGTTTAGCAAAGTGTCAAACGTTACCTTGCAAGGTACAGTGTGCGGCTTGCCGATCTTGTTCCCCCAGTAGCCTCTCCTCACGGGCACAATGGACAGCTTCGCAAGAATGATGGCCCCACGGATGGCGGTGGCAACTTCCTTGGAGCACTTGACCCCAAGACCAACGTGACCATTGTAGTCACCAATCGCCACAAAGGCCTGAAAAGGAAGACGAGAGAAGCCTCATCAGGGCTGCAGCTAAAATCCACACATCCCTTAACCATAGCACAGAAGCCTCAACAGAACATACCAGTGTTAAACAGGCATTCCTGAGGTTTTAGTCCAGGAACAAATTAGGAGCCCAATTTTAGCCAACGCTGTGAGATGATTCGAGGAAGCTGCCCTCTGCAGGATTAATTGCTCTGGCTTTGCCTCTTACCAATCAGCCTCTGCCGTTGACTGTCAATTCTCTACCATCTCTACATCATGTGTGATTAGCTCAGAGATTTGGCAAGGCAGACACAAACAGGTAAGTAGTTCATTCATTAATGTAAAAGAGCAAGCTCTGTCAACGGTAAGTGTGCTCCTGCCCTGGCCCAAAACTAACACACTTCAGGGCCAGACTGAGTGTATCTCCAAGAAAACAATTTTTTGGGTGAATTTCTGCTGTAAAGGTTGCCTGAGGCCAATCGAAAATAGATCAATTTCTGGAATTCATATGGATGCAAAACATTACCTTGAACCTGGTGCGCTGACCGGCCCGGGTTTGTTTCTGAACAGGCATGATCTTCAAAACCTCATCCTTCAGGGATGAGCCCAGGAAAAAGTCTATGATTTCAGACTCCTGTGAAGTCAATATTAACTGATCAGTTCTCTAGCAGTAAGCATAAATTAATCACAAAGTTTGAGGTATTAAAACAATGGTATGTCTCAGGAGGAGTATTGGATCTGGCTAGTTGGCCAGATCCCGACTTCTTCCATATCCCATTGTGACAAGTAGGCAGGTTCACCTGTCAAGCATCTGACACACAGTGCAGTATTTTCCTTTGCCCATGTGATCCAAAAGGAAATATTTCCCTACAGTGCTTGCTTTAAGTGCCCAACAGTTGATCAGTGCTGAGCAGCTAATTGGCAACAATAGCAAGCCTTGCTTACCAAGGAACAATTGGGAGAATACTTTAAGGCTCTAGTTGTTCCTTTGCAACCCTATCACGTATGATGTCCCCAGAGACCCACAAGAAGAGCATTAAGGCAACAGACCTCTCCTGTTGCTGTTCCCCAGCTGCTGATATTCAATGGCATAGCAGTAGCTCTGAACACAAGATTACTTCAGACAGCCATCATGGAGAGCCATCAACTGACCTCTTCTCCTTAGGGGAAAAGAGACAGCACCTGCCTTTTATGCAGAAGGTCCTGGATTCATTCCTCAGAATGTCCAGGTATGTCTGAGAATGCCTCTTGCATTAACCTTGGATAGTTGCTGCCACTTCAAGTGTAGAGACAATACTGAACTAGATAGACCTATGATCTGACTTAAACCCTTCCTCTTGGTAAACTTTACCAATGGAAAAGCACTGTGAATCATTCTCAGTCCTGAGGATCCCTACAGAGCGCCCCTAACATAGAGCAAATACCTTGATTGGAAGGGAGAAAAGGTAAATCTCCTCCAGAGACTTTATTTTCATGTCCTTTACTAGGCGACCAAGTTTGGTGACTGGAATCCACTGGGGGAGAAAATGAAAGGCAATCAGTTCAAGCTGACTGTATATCCCATATATACAAGAAACACTGACTGCAGCCTTAGCCACCCTAACAGAAAAGTAACTACAACGTCAATCTTTTCCATGTAAAAGCTATGGGTAGGATTTGCTGTTAAAAAATGGGTATACAGAAGAAAGATTATGTTCAAATAGAGGAAAACCTATCAGCTCTGATAATTTTCTATCTGCAAGGATATTTTTTTTAAATTGCAGTTCATTCAAAAATAGCACCTCTCATCTGCTTTCTAGGAGTAGTCTGCCCCTGCCAATAATTTGATCATGGCACTGGAAAATGGTTGAAACCCTAGCAACTCTAAAACCAAACCCATCTAAGGAAAGTTTCCATTTCTTAAATGTTTACTCAAAAAACCTGAGCATCCCATGCTGGAAAGAGGCTGCTGGGAGTTGTAGTCCAAAAACCTGGAGAGGACCAGGTTGCTGAAAGCTCCCTAAAAACACCAAAAAGGTGACTTGAACTCACTTCTTTGTCTTCAGCTTTGCCCCGAGCTCCACGCCCTCGGCCACGTCCCCTGCCACGGCCTCTCCCACGCCCTCGGCCTCCACTGCCAAAGCCTCCTCGGAAGCCTCCCCTGGCAGCAGCTCCTCCACCTGCAGCTGCTCCAGCTCCTCCTGCCCCTCCCGCAGCACCGGCGTCGTCCGCCATTTGCTGTAGAAACAAAGCACATCAAACATCTTAGTGCATTAAGCTCAGGACATAATGGACAGTGACAGATATTGTGCTGCAATAGCAACAAAAGCAGTAGGAAAAATTGTTTCTACCCTCATTCAAAGTTGATGCAGGGTGCTGACCAAAGCACATTTTTAGGAATCAGCAGCCCTAGGCAGTGACAGAAATATGTCAAAATTCACAAGCACCAATGCCAAGAAAATTAAGATGCCCTAGATTTTCCCAGGTAGCTCCCATTTCATGGTTTCTTTTCAAAATGTTAAATATATTAATGGTTTTTATATATTAATATAATATATAGTGGTTCTTATACATATAAGAACCATTTAAAGGGGGAGATCTACACCTGTCAATGAACTTAAATCCCACCTTCTTGATCCCAAGTTAAACCCACCAAATCCACCAACACAGTCCATAAAGCAGTTTGCATAATCAGAAAAACAAAAGTAGCAAGTATGATAGATACCACAGACATTTAAAACTAAGTCTTGCTGTCTTCTAATGATAAACATTCCATAGCAACTTCACTCCCATTAGGGAGAAACCCCAAACCCTTCTCTAATTAGGCCACCCCCAAATTTCAACTGGGATGAACTTTTGTCATTGTTCTAGTCAACTCCCACGTCCTACCCAACGAGTTCCTTTCAGATCAGCTACAATGAAACTTTTCACTCATTCATCAAGCAGCAGCATCAGATTGCCAGTACCACTTTAGGCCGCACATTTCAATGGCTAAATTCTTTCCCCCTTGATATACTGTACTTCTAAATGCAAGAATTTATATACTTATTGCTTCTGGAGACGCTCAATCTCAAGGTACATTCTGAGATGCTAAAGTCTAATAAAAGGTTTCTGATCCATGTTGAACTGGGCCTCTGACTTGCCCATAACCCCATCGCTATCCGAGGAAGAAAAAAACCCCAAATCCCTTCCTCCCCATGAGATGGGGACTGCTCCTAATCCTCCTCGCGGTGGGCTTGCCCAAACTCCGGGCTCCCAGACCCTCGATGGCGACGGATTCAGCAACCTCCCCAGCCCCAAAAGAAACATGGCACAACTTACGTGTTCTCGACTAGAAGGCCGAAACCGCGCGGCGAGGCCTATTTATAAGCCGCGCATCTCGCGAGAACTACTTCCTCGCGCGATACATACTTGTTTCTCCGCTCCGCCCTTAACTAGAGCAAATGCGCAGCCGTAAGAGGCGTGTTATGTGTTATGCTGGAGGAGGGAGCCCCGGATCGAGCATGATTAAAAACCCAGGTTTATAAAAGTTAGGACGGGAGGAAGGAAGTTGCAGTTTCGCAGGCGCAAGGTAGGTGGAGGGCATGTGGCGGGAACGGGAGAAGGTGGGGCATGTGGTGTTTCAAATTGCATGGAAAAAGCAAGTTGTTGGTTGCATTTATTTAGCTAAAAAATTGCCCTAAGAAGTTATGATGTTGCTGCTTTTAGGTTGAGTACTAAATCTCCCAGCATGCTCCTCGTCAGTTGGCCATTGGGGCAGCTAGGCCTGGGGCGCGAGGGATGCTGGGATGTGTAGTTGCTTGCCACGCGCCTTTTTCTCGCTGGAGGCTCTTTCCCGCCACCGGGAGTTGAGGCCCGAAATTTGGTCTCCGAGCTAATGCGGGTACATTTGCACTGTTGCACGTCGGACTGTGCAGCTTTCCGACCGGTGCACACGAGAATAGTGGAACGTCTGCCGCGAGACCAGCAGACCCTTATTTTCTGTCTCCACTTCAAAACAAGCAACTTCGTTATCAACTCTCAAGGCGGCAAACATCTAAATGTTGAAAATGTACCATAAAAAAATGCTTTTATTGAATTTTTGCATCTCTCTTAATGTAGGGAGGGACTTGCCATTAATTCGGGTGCCATTTCACGCGCTAAGCTGAACCTAGTTGGGGGTGATTACTTAAAAGTGAAACTAGGAGGATGGATGCACCAAGGGCAGTTGATATATTGGAAGCCCTATGTGAGCTTGCTTTGAAGGAAGACCCACTAAATTCCATAGCGCTGCATGGCTCTCTCATTCCTCATTCCCAGCTTGAAACAGTTTAGTTCTGAGTGCTAGAAAACTCAGTAGGTGTTTACATTACTTTGCGTTCTGTATTGTGCCAACAGGTTGTTAGGGCACTGTCTGAAAATCATCCCTGGCCTCTTCCAGTGGCCTTGGGTGAGATAACGGTGCGTAAAGCAAAGGGAGCATTAAGCTTATTGCCCATCAGCTCAACGTGTTGGGCAATGAAACCCATGCTCCTATATGTCCCACGAGCAGAAGGATCCATGCAATAGATGTTTTTTGTTGTATTGTGAAATTGCTTTGAGATTATTCATAGCATGTGATCCATAAATGAAACCAATAAAAATATGCTGTGTAGGAGGGAAGGCATACAGTACTATAAAACCAAACCAGAGTGCTAACTTGTCTTCTTTTTCTACAGGCCCCATCTGCATTGGCGTGCCACTGGTTTCTGAAGATCGACCTTTTTACACACAAGTGTTCCCTTCATCTCACAACCCAAGGCTCCTGTTTTAATTGCTTTGTTTTAATGTAATTGTGTGTTTTTTGCATATTTTAATTATGAATGTTTTATATGTTAACGTTGGGGGTCATAAGTTCTTAGACTTGTACAATGCTTAGGGTCCTATTTTGGCTGCCTGCAGCAGAATCTTAGAAGTCCATACACCTTGCACTTCGAAAGAAGATGGTTGGTGTGTGGCCCACAATTGCCAACTGCGATGGTGGCAGAGTGAAGAAAATTAGCCATTTCTTGTTCACAAAGTCATTTTTGACTGACCCTGCTTGGAGTGATGTTGGAATATGTATGTGCTTTTTTGTTTTTTGTTTGCCCAGAGAGTGAAAATGTTAGTTTGGGGCATATAGTATGCTGGCTTTAGGTCATGAGACAGATATAATAAAGATTGTTTTTATACATATTGTGTGTACTTCTTGATCACTTGGGAGTGTCTGAATAGGAGAGAGAAGCAGGGTGAACTTTCTCTAAATAAAATGCAGCAAAAGTATGAATACGCTTCTTGGGTTTGGGGCTGTTAGATAATACAACTGTAGCATTTTGAAACGGAACACTTCTAGATTGTGCTGCCTGATCCGGTGGGGAACCATTTTTAGGCTGAAGATGGCATTCCCTTCATACACACACCCCTCTCCTCCAGATAAGCAAGAGGCATTATCAGAGTTCAAGGACACATTACAGCCAGGTGAAAACGCTCAAGGATGGTGCAAAACAGGCTGGCAAGGTGTGTGGCCTGCAGGAAGTCCAAGAGCTAGATAAAGAGAAGTTTAGCAATTTACATCATTGTAATTCTAGGTAAGGTTTTGAGCCTTGAAGCTTACAAAGGTATTGTGCATCCTGGGGATGATCACAGAATTTCTGATGGCTTCCTTCTGTCTTCAGCTGCCTGACTAGAATGAGCCTTGGTGTGTCGAGAATCCAGCTCGACATCAGTAGGAAGATCAGTAAGAAATCAGTCTCACACCAAGATGACTTGAAGAAAAAGCTTTGGCTTCAGCCTTGCAATGTTTATTGTGTGCAGTAAAAAATAAATCATCCTCCCTCCTCCAGCACTGCGCTTGCTCTGCCTGGTACTCAAAAGTAACAAATCAAAGGAATGTAACCTTGCTTTTGCCCACAGACAAAGAGAGTGTTATGCTACGTGAGCCAATCATTAGTCTAGCATGAGGTGTTAACGTGCTCATCATGCTCTTAGCAATATCTCGTGCTGTAAAATCACTCTGCAATAATAAGAACTCTGCTCATGCTCTTATGTACAAGCAATCATTTTCCCACATGCCCTCTTTTCTTGTTTATATTATAAGAGGGACCATTAATCAGAATTGCAATCCCATTACCTAAGCGTTTATATTTTGCAACATAAAAATTCCTCTTGTAACCCCTGTGGTGGGCCTTGGTCGGTACCACCATGCAGTACATTGGGAAATCAAAAAAAGCAAGCATTGAATACATAATAAAACCAACAATACATGCAATTACAATCAATAATATTTTTCTTAACCATAATCCATTAAGTAACCAAGAAAATAACCAATCCCATGGATCAAAACCTTCAGGTGGATTCAAAGGATTATGGGTTATCATTTGTTCCATATAATCAATAATAGCGGAAATATTGGTTGATTGATCAGTTATATACATACAACAATAAGAATGAATTAAGGCATAAATTCCACCTTTAGAGGCAAGGATTACATTTAAAGCATAAAAAATTTGTAAAGCAACTTCTCTTATTTCTGACATTTTTCTTCTTCTTTTTTGTTAATTATTTTTAAAACAAAGATGGTATAATTAAACAAAGCTTCGGTCCAATTTGCCACAGAATAACCATAAATCAGATTGAAGCAAATATGCAGATTTACTGCTCTTTCTCATCCAGTCCAACCAAACATAAAAATCTCTACACGCAGCTTGTTGTTCATAGGTCATGTAGGTTGTGACATTATTAACTAAAACTTTTGGCCTACCACTCATAGTGGTAATTAAAAAAAATAAAAAACAAAAAATCCATCAAAATACTCATAGGTCCAATTACAATATGGATAATGACCTAAAAAGTTATTGCTATTATGATTAAAACGAAAACAATAAGACACTATTTCTGCAAGCAACAAAACACAGGCGATAAACTTATACGATTGTCCTTCATATTATTTCTAATCTTAAATGAAGCATTTACTGGAATACTAGAATACCACCACCAAAAAAAAGCTCAAAGCTTTTTAAAATCATTTTTCTCAGCAGCTAAAAGGCACTAGCCAAGCATATTCCGCTTGCTGTAACTAAAAAGATTGCAACAAGGTCGAGAACAGAGCCCATTGTCTTCGCGGGCCTTGCTAAAAAACCATATTGCAACTTTCTTTCTGTCCGGGAACCATGCCAAAGCACAAAAATGAAACAACTGGAACACACTGAAATCCTTCACCCCCTCCCTTGCCAAGAGTCCACAATAGTTCCAAGACAGCCCTCTGTACATGCTCAGAGGAACACATCATAGGGCAGGACTCCTGAGGGAGGAGAAACAAAAATATCTGGGGGGTAAAATCCAAGTGATGCCAATAAGGATGAGAATGGTAAATTATTCCAATGGCCACTTCCGAGCAACCTGTGTGATATTTCATGGCTCGATTATTGGCATGTAAAATCCACAATCCAGAAGAAGTCACACAACTATTTCTGCAGATACAGGAGCCCATTTGCTGTAAATAAGTCTGATGTATTGCTCCTTGTACTGCTGAGTCAAAAGTCCAAGCCCAATGAAGCGTGATGACACAGATGGGATGGTCGCTATTGGGAGGCAACAAAACTGTAATGATGTTTGGTGGTTGAAGTGGCTTCCCGGGGAAAAGGGGGGCCAATGCAGTAGGGATGAAGATGGCCTTTCAGCGTGCCAGGAAACACTGGAACAGCTGTGGAAGAGCCTCTTCCATTGCAGAGGTGACTGTGATCTTGTCTGCTGGATCCTTATGTCCTTTAAGGGCAGAAAATAGTGGAGACAAAGTGGAGGTGGGCAGGTCCAAATAACTCTTTATCCAATTCAGCTGTCCAAGAATTTGTTGTAAATCCACCAGTTTAAGATGATCAGGGAACTGTAGTTGAGGCGTGACTGGAATGGCTGCAGATGCTGTCAGCTGGTGTCCCAGGCACGTAATAGGTAAGGTCCGCTGGATTTTTTCCTTAGCCACTGTCAATCCAACAGGTTTTATCCTTTGCAGGATTTTGGGACATTGCGGAGGACAGAGCCGTGGCTAGCAAGCGAGCTTTATGCATCTCAGTGCCCACTGACTGGCAGGCTTTAAGCATGTCTGCAATGGCTATATTTGATGTTGCCATCAAAGGGCGCAGCACTTGCTTACAGTCCTCATGTGCATGATCAGATGCAAGCTGGCGTACAATCAGTTCTTGTGCTGCCAGGTCCTGAACTTGCCGCTTGAAGGTATTATACAAGCGATCAACAAATTGTCCATAGGGCTTTGCAGGACCCTGTCTGATGCTCCCCCACCGGCCATTGCGCTCAGTCTTGTCATCAGGGACAGAGGCCAGAGTCTCTTGGGCAGCGGCTGTAGTGGCCTCCCAATACTGAGGATGGAGAGTTAGCTGTTGGGCAGCAGTAAGAAAATTGCCTCCTCCCGTCAGCCCATCGAGAACATTGGTTTGGGTCAGCGTGACGGGGGCTGGGGGTTCAGGAGCAATCACAGGAAAGAGATTTGGAGTATCAGAATCAAAAGGCAACAACGGAGCGGTGGCACGGAGAGATTTTTGAAGAGTAGTGGTAGAAGCGGTGCCAGATGCCTTGGGCGGAGGAGGTGGAATAGCGGGGAGTGCTGAATGCGAAGATTCTTGGAGAGGAGTAGTAACAGGAGGCGCAGGAAGCGAAGAATGCGGAGGAGGGACGACAGAAGCCGAAGGAGGAAAAATGTCTGCCTGTTTAGGAGGCTGATAAAACAGTGCTTCTGAAGGCAGCATGAGGATTGGGAGGGGGGGCAAAGGAGCTGAAGCAGCGGCCAGGAGGAGATTTGTAGGAGTTAGGCTTGAGATAGCCTTATAAACCTTACAGCAGGCATGCAAAACTTTGACATCAATCTGAGGATGGTTTTGGAAAAATTGTCCTATTTTTTCCCAGTCTTTTAAATGATAATTCCCATTCTGAGGAAACCAGGGACAGTGAATATCCAATGCTTCTATAAGAGACACGATATCAGCATCTGAGACAATGAGGCTGTTGCTGGCCAAGAGAAATTTAAGGTCTTCAGAAAACTTTTTCTGTGGTGCAGATAGAGACGTCCCCATGATAGCAAGAGTTGCAAAAAGAGCAGGGAGCACTTACCAGGGATCCTTAGAAGGATGAACGACGCGTCTGCAGCCCTTGCCGGGCGAGATAAGTGCTGATAAGCCCGTAACGTAATCCAGAATCACATACACGGGGTACCAAGGGAGCACTCACCGGGATCCATAGCGGATGAAAGACGTGTGGTGAGCGCTGAACGATGAGAAACAACGTGGAGTCCGAAGGTAGTCACACGGGGCACCAAATGTCGAGAATCCAGCTCGACATCAGTAGGAAGATCAGTAAGAAATCAGTCTCACACCAAGATGACTTGAAGAAAAAGCTTTGGCTTCAGCCTTGCAATGTTTATTGTGTGCAGTAAAAAATAAATCATCCTCCCTCCTCCAGCACTGCGCTTGCTCTGCCTGGTACTCAAAAGTAACAAATCAAAGGAATGTAACCTTGCTTTTGCCCACAGACAAAGAGAGTGTTATGCTACGTGAGCCAATCATTAGTCTAGCATGAGGTGTTAACGTGCTCATCATGCTCTTAGCAATATCTCGTGCTGTAAAATCACTCTGCAATAATAAGAACTCTGCTCATGCTCTTATGTACAAGCAATCATTTTCCCACATTGGTGCTATTTTCTAATGTTGGTCCTCCTTAGAGTAAACCCATTGCTATGAATGGACATAGCTAACTTGGATCTGTTAATTTCAATGTCTGACTCTTGAGTAAAAGCTAATTGGATATAACCTGTAGTTGAAGGCTTCATGCAGATAAGCATAAAATGTTACCATGTGGCAGAAATATGTAGTGCAGACAACTTTTACTATAATGCAAATGAATCCCACCCAATAAGTAGAAGTTCCCTGTGCCATTTACATAGTAAAAATCAAACACTTAACTACACTAAGGAAGCAAAAAAAATTCGCTCAAATAAGAGACTTCGCGCCAACCTATTAATAGTAACAAAACTCACTGTTGCTAGACTCTTAGTTGGAATGTGGCTTTTGCAGATATGGGATCTTGTATTAATGGGCAAGTTAACAAATTTTAAAGAAATGGGCAGGCTAAACAATCATTTACTACAGTGTGGAATGACTTACCATGTATATGGCAATTACAGTGGTA